ATTTGAGTTTTCTAGCAATAAGTTAACACTGCCATCTATAAATAGTCATAAAAGTTATCACTGGTGGTTCTGAAGGGCAAAATTACAATAATTAAATAACTATTCACATTTCATAACAGATTTTTGAAAGCTCTTGCGAAACAAGTCTTAAGGGCCAGTTTGCAGGAGTCTCAGATATGTTTCTGAGAAATCGTGAAGCTAGTTATAAAGGGGGGAAAATCCTGCGGAAGGGGTTCGGTGGTTCGGTATGCAGAAAGCACCACCGCCTACGGCATGTGTCCTCCCTAACGGCGTACCGTTAAGTGGTACTAGAACCCGGTAACTCAAAGGATTTTCTAGATGATAATATCAGAATCAGCTAATTCCCTTGAACTTAAGGTACAAATAATCACTTTCTCTTCTACACTAAGCAAAACACCTGAAGGGGGAAATTAATTGTTGTATAGTTATCATTCTGCTCTTTGAATCTTTGAATGTATGTCCTACTTTGGAACATAATGCGAGTAGCTTCTGTGCGTGCGTGCGTGCGTGTAGTGGGGGGTGTAGAATGGGGAAATTCTACTGGGAAAAAGAGTTTCCATGGTGCTAACAGTATCACAACAGTGTAGCATCATCTTGCGGGCGAAAAAGGTAACTGCTATGCTAAATTACAGAAGCCAAATTTCATTCCTGCCAGATAGATTAGGTTATAGCATTAGATTCTTTGGGTTATATTTTAACTGTAATCTTTTACTAAGTGCCACCACATAAATAAATGTGTGATTAAAATGTCCCCTTTATTCTCAGAAAGAGAAAAGAAGCCAAATGGTACAATTCAGGAATGATATCAATCTAGCAAAAAGAGTCAAATATATTGTCTGCTTTGAATAAATGCAAGGTATTAGCCAAGAAACATTTGAGAAGAAAAAAAAAAGATTGGAAGTCTGACCTCCGGAATCCTGAGACAGTTTATTTAATCTACCACTGAAGGTTAAGAACCATGGGAGCTCTTTGTTTTTTTTCTCCCAAGTTTATTTTCCTTCATTTTCGCATTACCCACACCCCCAAAGTTTCCCAAATGCGTCAACAAATAGTGGTGAAGATGACAGTCACAGCACAGATTAAAGAAAGATGGACTGGCTACGAACTGGAGACGCAAACCCGCGTTGGGTGACTCTGTACTTTTCTGTCACCTCTACCTGAAAGGAGAAGCCTCATGGTGAATAAAATAGACTCTTTAAAATTATGTCTGACGCACTGACAGTCCAGTGAGTTGCCCTCCAAGCTATACCTGGACTTAAAGCAAACATCAGAAGAGAATCTAGGAAAGTACCTTGTTCCTTTTCCCAGAGAGGTCGAAGGAAAAATGAATAAGGACCCCCTAGTCCATTCTCGCCTGCTCAAACCAAATAATCAATAATGTGCGCTGTTTACTCACGACCACCCCACACCGAGCACTTTTCTGATCGCGGGAGGACTTCCACACTGACCTAAACGTCCCGGTGAGCTGCAGCCTTCCAGTGCTTTGTAATAAGTATTTTTTTACAGGACAACTTAGACATACTTTATGCGAAAACTGTCGTTAATATCATTTAAGTCAAATTCTCATGCCATTAACACACGTCTTCGAAAGATGCTAGGACCCAAAATAGAGAGCTCGGTCCAAACAGACACACAGATAGTTAAGCCAGCTCTTGCTCTGTCACCATTCTTCCCTAGTATTAGAATTACAAAAAACGGGGCATTTGGTTTTTTTCCTTAAATCGAGTATAAAACATTATTCAGAGCTTAATTGATGAATTAATATGTTTACTATTTTCTATTCTCTAGTTTCTCTGAACACATGCAATCCTTTTATAATACTGTCAGTGTTTCGAAAATATTTTTAAAAGCTTCTCTGGGTTTACTGGTTCATTTTTATACCTAAAAGATTTTAAACCCACAAGGAAAGTAACTGAAGTACTGATCTATTTTGCTGAAGGCGCTAACAGCACCTTCAGTGTCCCAAATGGACTCAGTTACCACGTGACACTATTGATCCTTGTGGAGACAATAAACTTAAGGATGAAACAGCAATAGTTTGGTTGTCCTGGACTTTGGCAATGCCGTGCAGGGCTGGCTCACTGCAATCAGCTGAGAAGGAATTCTGCTTTGATTTCAAAGGGAGCAAATCGATTAATCCATAACAGAAAGAAGGCTGATGGCTGAATTCCCGGCACGCCTTACGCCACCTCACTCGTGGGAACGCATTTGGTCATCGCAGTCTGCCGGTGCATCGAAGCAAGAAACCGAAGATACTCATTTATGTCTGAGAATCTCATCCCCCACCCCTTCCCGGTGCCGACGACACGGGGCCAGCGACGGCTGACAGACCAGCCCCCGGAGAAGCACGAAGACCATGCCGTACCTGAGGGCAGACTGATTCGGTGGCCGTCTTTGAGCTTTAATCGACTTCTCTTGAACTTGCCCTTCCTCTTCTTGACCTTGGGCTTCTCCTGGTTCAGCTGGAATATGAGGATGCTGAGCTCGCGCTCCAGCACGTCGATCTCGCGCTCCGCCAGCCGCTGCTCCCGCCGCCTCAGCAGCCGCTCCTGTGACCTCTGCTGCAGGGCGGCACGTGTCAGCTCCTCCTCCCGGGACCGCAGCTCCTGAGACAGAGGGACACGGCATCAGCGCCCAGCGGGACCCTGCTCCTCCTGCCTCCGGCCGCCAGTCACTCCGGGCCTCCCGGGGCAGCGCTGCCTGCAGTCCAGACAGCCCCAGCCGGGCCCCTGTCACCAGCTGGGCCTGAGACCGAAGCCTGGGCACTGGCCCCGCCTCGCTCTTTCGGTTTTGTGGTCCTCAAAGAGGCATCGCCCGTTTTAAACTCGATTTGAACAAGTCCCTCTCGCTATCTCGTGCCTTCGCGGTCGCCTGACACACGAAGTGAACATTAACACAGCAAGGACGACGCGCAGAAGCGGCCGACCCACGAGTGAAAGCCACGCGTTAAAGCTCGGCCGATTACGGGGACGATTATTCTCCTTAGGGACTTCTTAGGGCATTTAAGTCTCTGCTTAGAGGTCTAAACATCTTGGTGGCCAGATTAAGGGAAAGAACAAAGCCGACGTGTTAGGAGTCAGTCAGAGGCCCGTCAGACATGAAAGCGAGACACCTTGCAAATTACAAATCGACAGAAAATATATTTTATTTTACAAAGAGTTCTTCAGGATCCCACGGGCGGGCAGAAAGTATCAAGGTGTGTGCATATACTGTGAATTAGCTCGTAAAAGCCTCTCTGGGGACAATACTTCCTGATCAAAGTCTGACTTCCTCTCCGTTTTGTTTTGGAATTATTGAACTCTGAGAAACAGAAAATCTGTGAACTGAAGAATACTTTTATTACTATTAGAAAAAAAAGGATTCAGTAGTAAAATCGAGAACTCCACCAAGTTTTAAAATCGCACCCCCCGTTCTCATTTCATTTCTGCAAAGTGTTCTATTCTCTACCAGGGACATAAACATCCCCGTCAGTGCTGAGTGACTCTTCTGGGTCCCCGCCACCGCACCGAGCCCTCACCCGGCAGCCGAGGCCCCGCGAACTCGACTGCTCTGGGCAAACGTAATCTTAGAGGAGCCAGGTACCACTTTATGGAAAGCCCGCCTTCTCGGGGGGAGCTGTGGCTGTGAGCGCTGTGCAAACATGTCACACTTCGTACGGTCAGGCCGCACCTCACACAGGCCGCCCCCGAACGCAGGCTGCGTGAAGAAACTGGTAGACAGGGGCTCATGGAAGACAGCAGAGCTGACCCGGAGCAGAAGGCCACTCGAGTCCACCGAGCCCTTGGCCTTTCAAGGACTGGCTGGCTCAAGAATAACCGGAGGCCGGCAGCACAGTTATCATAAAGGAAAACAAACCCAGAAGACCGCTCTCCCACAAATAAACACAATACTGCCAAGGAGAGACTGGGGAGCTCTAAAAACAAACAAACAAATGTGTTTATTCGGATCAAACTAATTCTGAACTTAGGGTAATTCTACCAAAGTGAACTGAAATTCACCTTTGAAACACTCTTTAAATTCATTTTCTAAACTTCATAAATAAAATTGCAGGAGAAATAATTTCCTGAAGACCAATTGATATTCAAATCACTTCTGCTAACACGTACCACTGATTCTTATGTATAGAACCAATACGTATTTCTTCATTACACTATTCCGGATATAAATTACTATGTATTGCTTGAAAGAAAAAAAAGAAAAAAAAAAGAAGAAAATGTTATATATTAAAGAAAAAAACAAAAAAACAATCTGGACTCCATTACTTAACTGGTGGCTTCCCCCAACCAGTTTGTCGAAATCGGAGATTTTACTGTAGTGTGTTTGGGGACACAGAATAATTTCCCGTCAACTTCCCAATTTCTAACGCATGACTGTCTGCCCTTTGGTGAAGACAGTGCTTTTCGGCGGTGTTGGTGTCCGTCCGGGTAGCTCTTGTGAAAGGAAATGGCATGAGGAAGAAATAAGGACAGCAAATTCGATCGGGCTTTTTGTGTGTTACTGCGACAGTAATTGAAAAAGAAACCATTTTTAATTCCGGGTCCCAAGCTAAAATGCAAATCCCCTTGTAATGACTTCATGAATAAAAGTCATACAAACGAAAACAAACAAACAAAACACTCGCCCAAGACTCATCAGAGAAAAGAGAGACAAAGCAGCCGAAGTGTTCTTCCCTCTGAATGAATTTTAAAACATTGAAAAGTAAAAACGTATGGGTATTAGAACCCCTCTGAATATTGTGAAATCATAAAGCACACAAGAAAATTCTTTTGCTTGCCGCGTGCTAAGCAGTACCGTTTAACTGCTGGGCACAGGCCAAGCTCGTACTGGCAAACCCAGACTCCTGGCAGAAGGTGTTAATCATTAACGGTGACGTGCCTCCGCATGGTGGCCCAAAGACACTCTGTGCACAGAGACAGACACACAGACAGGCAGGCAGGAGCTCAGGGAGGCGCCAGTCCCTACGCAGGCTGCAGTTTACTGAAGAACACAGAGCACGCTAAGCCACTGACCATTAAGTCATTCCCAGCCTGACGCCGCCTGCCCTGAGCAATCGGTGAGCGAGAAAGCGAGCTAGAGCACGCACACTTGACGCCAGCAGACGACACGCGGTTTGAAACCTCTGAGCAAAAAAAGGAGCGTATGTTCTTTAACTGTGAATCGAAGGCTCGCTCACAGGATACCGTGGAATGCTGTATGTCAAGGAACACGCACAAAAACCAGAAAAAGCAGACACCACTGCAGGATTGCAAATAAAAAAAGGAATCTGAAGAATAGCAAAAGAGCTACCATAAAACTTCAAAGCAGAGAGAGAGCAGGGCTCCGCGCCCGAAGCACGCCTTTGCGTTTGACACCCCACATAACAAGCATTAACTGACTCAGGCCGCGGACTGCTCCCGAGGGTGACAGCGTTCTTGTGGCCTTGAAGGGTGAGGAGGCGGCAGGGGCAGAGCAGTCCTAGGTGGGCGGATGGCAGCGCCCAGTGCTGCCCAGGCCGTCTAACGCCGGTCCTTGCTCTCCACCCCGCCCCACTGCGATGGCTTCTGGCATGCCCTGGAGACGGAATACTGAACCGGGAGGGTCTGTCAGGGTTTTTAGAGTCCCCTGCCATCGGCCTGACGTCGCGGATGGAGGGAGACGAGCAGTGAGCAGCAGTCCGCCGGCTCAGGGCCACCGGGAGTCAGCGAGTTCTTGATTCTAGGATCACAAACTTTAATCCCCAGAGCAGCCACCCAAGCAGGCCTCCCTCTGAGCTCGGGAACAGCACGCAACCTGTTTCCTCCCGCATCTGCTTGAAGGTTCTTCCAGTCCTTGCGGGCAGCCCCCTGCACCCCGCAGCCCCTCTGCGTCCCTGTCTGTCCTTTGCTCAGACTCCCAAGCCCCTCTCCTGCCTCCCCGGTCACCCACGGGCCACCCTCCATATCCCTGAGAGGCCGACAGCCACGCACGACACCACGGGTGTGATCTGAACAGACACAGGGGGTTATTGCTTCTTAGGATGCGAGCTCTATGGATTATTAGCGGTGTCAGGGTCTAAGGTCGCATTTGCTGGTCTTGTATTTTTAAACTCACAAAATACTGAAAAATCCAAGGAAGAGAGTGCATTACGTGTAAGTCTCCTACTTGGAAAAAGTGTGTTTAGAAAAAAATGACTTTTGCAGCTTCCATATTTCTTTCTAACCTTTATTTGTCAACCTTTTCAATTATGAAATATTTAAAATATACTGTAATTAGAAAAGCAAATACCCAGGCACTCACCATCAATATTTAACGGGTGCTAATTTTTACCAGTTCTGTTTCGGGCCTGTGACACTGTCCTGTTTCACTCTGGTCCTATCTCCTCCCTCTTCAGATCCGCTGTCCTCAGGTTGGTTTGGGTCCTTCCCATCTCTATTGTTAGTCTTCTTGTGCATGTCAATAGTTCTGTTTTATGTGGTTTTATCAATTTACATAAATGGTATTTAATGTAACTATTCTTCCGCAACTCACTTTTTCCACCCAATTTTATGTTTGAGATTTATCCGTGTGGGAACACGAGGCTAGAGCTCATTCATGTTAACTACTGGATAGCCATCCGCTGCGTGAACACAGTAGCTCAGGCACCTCTCCCCCCTATTAACAGATACTGGGGTTGCTCCCAGTTTTTCACAACTACAAACAATACTTAAGTGAACGACCTTAATTTCCTTGTGCACCTGTGTGGGAGTTTCAAGGATATATAACACGAAATTATATGCGTCTATTATAGCATAAGATTCCTAAGAGGATCCATAATACTTATATGCCTTTAAATTCCTTTTTTACTTAATATAGTTATAATAATTATTAATATCTCTCACCTATTAAAATATGTATCAGGAGTATATTAAGCAACATTACTTGGGCTTATTCGATGTATTTATGTATTTCATGCCGAGTCCTTTGTTCAATGCTGTGGACGAAAATGACCAGGAAGGAAACTGTATCTCATGAACTTGTTCTCTAGCAGAACGGGCAGGCCAAGAACTAAACAAGCAAATAATGAGGGATGACTTAGTGCCGGCCACGGCAGGGAGGCGCAGGCCCCTGTGACACACAGTTTACCTGGTGCAGCCGAGAAAGGCTGAGAACAGCGACTGTAAGTCCGGGCTCCGTGCCAGAGAGGGGACAGCGTTCTCCACAGAGGAGAGAATGTGTACAAAGGTCAGAAGTCAAGAGCGTGGCATCGGAGGCACCGGCAGGAAGTCGGTGTGGTCGGGGACAAAGCGAGGCTCACTGTGGAAGGACAAAGGGAAGCAGCAAGGGAACGGAGCTGGCCAGGGACACAAGGATGCGGATTTGCATTTTAGAAGGGTCACTGGTAGAGGTGAGGGGACAGTTAGGGGCACAAGACCGGCTGCAGAGCCACCAGCTAGGATGCTGCTGTAGTAATCAGGTGACGTGAGGACACTGGCTTAGGGGAGCGAGTTACCACGGATGGTCTCTGTCGCATAGGAGACCGAGAGACATCTTCAGAGACCCACGAGACAGGGTACCTAGGAGAACAGCAACCCCATTGTCACAGAGGAAGGGAGGGTGAGCGGGAAGGCAGAGGCCGGGTGAGGAGGGCAGACGCCGCTCCCAGCACACACGCAACAGTCACTACGTGTCTGCGGGGAACAAACTGTAACGTTGAAACTCGGAACAACTTCCCCAGAGACACGTGTTTAAATTCGTTTTTTTTAAAAAACGGTTCGTACTTTGGGGAATACCCATGACACACGTTACCTTACTTCCCAATTCGGCAAGATTCCAGCAGTGAGAGACTCACGGGCAGAATCCGGGCGTGCGCTGTCCCGTTGTCAAGCACGCCGTTACGCGGAGTAGCCCGAGACGTGCCCGCGGCATGTATGCGAACCCCGGCTTTTTACTCCCTCTTTGGCCCTGTCCTTCGCACTCAAGCAGGCCACCTGCCTCTCGTGCGACGGTCAGTGCGAAAGGCTGGAGGTGCGACGTGGACACGTACCACGTAAGTGAAGGCCACTTTCACACGGGACAATGACTCAGCCACACCACGCGCCCAGGTTTCAGCGTCACGGACTGGAATCAACGCGTGGACTTTTTATTTGGCAAAGCATTGCTGCCTCTTCGAAAAGAATCGCAGAGACCCGGGGTATAAGAATTCCTTCCTGGACAATGATGTGGCTTTATAAAAGTTATCGAAAACTCGAAGTGTTATACTCGAGCCCGTTGGTCGCACGTACAACAGAATAATTTAAGCTATTGAACGGTAACGCATTTCAGACCGTCAGAATAGACCTTGATTTATCAAAATGCCCAAGTACTCCAAAAATCTCTCTCAAAAAATAGGAGCTGCCACTGAACCGTGCCTTGAACTTGGGGTTCTTCAGTGACTGTTACCAGGCATTTGTCACCGGTCATGAAGACCACGCCAGCCGACTTTGCTTCCCAACTAGTCCGCCTTCCGGTTAGGTGTGTCCCCACTTCCGATCTTTCACTTTCGGGGAACATAAATACAGCTTCAGCATGTTTAACTTATAGGTTTATTTTCTGCTTCTTAAAATATGTAAACCAACCAGAGCTTAACGCGTCATATTAAAAAAGTTCAAAAATTACACATTTTCCCAATGTCTTGGAGGAAAAAAGGACGTTGGTGGAAGGACTCGCAGGGAAGGGGCGTCGAAAGACATGACTGGAAACAACACGCGGACTCGGCTTAGCTTCGGAGTCGCGCCGCCTAAGAACTCGAGACAAACTGTGACATCTGAATACTGAGTATTATACGGTATCCAAGAATTACTGCTGCTTTTTAAGATAACGATGGCAAGAAAGTTATTCCGAAAATCCTTATCAGTTAGAGATGTGTATTGAAGCATTTTAGGGTAAACAGGCAGGAGTCTAGGATTTAATTTAAAATACTCCAGTTTAAAATTTAAAAAAAAAAAATGTTAATGGGAGAAAGAAATGAAGAAAATGAGAAAAGACTGACAATTGTCGAGGCCGGTTCATGCGCACCGACGCGCATTATGCTACATGTCAAAATCTCCCTAGTAACAGGCCGTTTGTGTTCCAATCATGTATTTCAAGGCCAGCTCTATTTTGTTTTGTTTTAACCAGAAGAACCCATACATACTGATATCTGAAAACAGTTTAGAATGCTTCTAACCAGTGGTTCTCGACTCACGTTTTCCATCGCCTTCGCAAATGGGAGTATTTTAGGCAATCAGAGATATATGTATATAAATAAGTAACCACTTACCTTCTCTTTCGTCCGAAGCTCATCGAACATTTGCTGAATTTCCAGCTTCCAGTCATCTTGCATGGAATGGAAAGACTCCTGCGGCATGCCAGTCATCACCGCCCCCTCGATAGCAGTCAGCTGCTGGAGAATGGCGGCGAACGACGGCCGGATGTGCGGGTCTTGCTGCCAGCACCCTAAAACGAGAATCGCGTGAATTCTGCGTCCAGCGCAGTGCCCGTCGGCAGCCCGTGTCGACAGCGTCCGCCGAAGATTTGAAAAATCTCTTGACGACGATTTTGAAAACTGGGTTTTACACAGGTGAGCGGCATGCATACTATTACTGTTAGATGGGACTCTTACTGTCCGTGTAGGACGTCAGTACGTGGACGTGAGTTTCAGGGCCTCGGGTGGCCAGATGATTTACTGATCTAGAGTTCTACGGCTCAACCCAAGAAAACCAAAACTCTCTAAAATATTATAATCACAAGAGAAGTCCTGAGAAATAGCCTGATAATTAAGTAGACTAAGCTAACTTGCTGCTTACAAAAAGAGTTAATTTTTAAGAGATACGGATTAAACAGACAAGGTCATGGCGAACCACGCAGGTTAAGACTGTAAAACATTTTTGATCATTAGGTAGGATTTAAAATAGCAGATCTGGAGCCAACTCGATACCGTCTTTGAACTCTACTAGCATACTTGGTGGAAACTTGATTACCATTCTGGTGAATTTCACATATAAATAAGTTACTGATAAAACTGGACTGTTTTTAAATTCCTTAGTTCATCGAAACTTTGCCTGACATTCTAGATCAAAGACAAGGCTTCTAACTCTTAAAACAGTGTAAGTACTTAAAAGCATTTGAAAATTAGAGTCACAGAAATTACTCTTCTGTTTAAAAAAGTAGAGATGCTCTAATGAGCAAACCCGGGGCACTGGACACGCCACGACAGGGCTGCGCAAATACCTTTCATGAGCCTGGCAAACGGCTCGGGGCAGGTGGACGGAATGGGCAACGTGAGCTTGTTGACCGCGACCCCGTAGGCCACGGCGAGCCCGTCGATGCCCCGGTAGGGGACCTCCCCGGTGAGCAGCTCCCACAGCAGCACTCCGTAGCTGGAAAGCAAAGTTTTCCGCAGGTTAAAGGGAAGGGTGGCCGTGTCTCGTCCCGCGAGATGCTGGCGGGACAGACGCCTCAGCGCCCTCCCCCAGCTCCCGACGGGGCCCTTCTCCCCCAGCAGAGCTCCCGGCGGCCCCTCCCGGCGCGGGAGCGGGGACTCTTCTAGTCCCCGCAGACCCCGTCCCTCCTGGGAGCCAGTCGGGAGCCACTCAGTGAGCTGGGCTGCGGAGCTGGGCCACAGTGGTCACTTCGACGCTTGTCCTTCTAGCCACTTTCCACGCCTGCCCGAGACCTCTGGGGTCAGTGAGGACGTGAGGTTCCAGCCCCACAGATGCATCGTGCTGCACACTGCGGGGCTGGGACCGGATCGTGCTGACCGTTCGTGCCGCTGCCCGCCTTCCGTGTGCTAGGAGGGGAGCCGCCAGCATCTTCGCCACGTGGCTTCGCAGCGACGGCCGGAGGGAACCAGCACGGCCGCCAGGCCCGCTGCCGGCCGGGGCCTCTCCTTTCTGCGGCAGGGGGGCCGACGTGCAATGGGGGAGAAAGCCGAGGCCTGCAGCGGCCGGGCTCCTGGACCCCAGCAGGGGTGACACAGGGTCAGTGCTGCACCAGGCCGTGCAAGGCACACGCGATTCCGAAGAAATGCGAAATGAACGTTTAAAACGAAGCCGAAGGACCGCGTTTCGCTCCACAGCCACAGCAGACCTTCGGGCGGCCAGGGGCGGCCAGGGGCGGCCAGGGCGGCCAGGGCCAAGCTCGCACATCTCAGACGCGTACTCCCCTCCGCAGCACTGGCCAGTGCCTTGCTTCCTCTGTATCTGCTACAAACGTAAACTTTTGCGCATGAATGATCTTTCTTTAAAAAGCACACAGTCTGTCCGGGCCACCTACCCGGCTTTACATCGTAAGGAACGGTCCGTTTAGTTTCTTCTCTGCTTCTGTGACAGAACGCGTACAATCCTACAATCCTGTTTACTCTCCTAGTCTGTGAAAACTTTATTAGGTCT